TAATGTATTCCGCACATCCCAAGTGGGCTTCGAGTTTTCTATGGACACCCGCGCAGTCCTCACACATCCTCCTTTCATCCTCGTCTCTTTTCGCATTCATCATGATCACCATCACCATCATCATCCTTATCGTCGTCGCACCATCACCATCATCATCATCATCATCACGATCACCATCCAATCATGATTTTCGGCATTCGGCCGTCATCATCATCATCATCATCATCATCATCATCATCAGCCTCATCATCATCTTCATCATCATCTTCAACATCACCATCATCTTCACCATCACCATCACCATCACCATCACCATCACCATCACCATCACCATCACCATCACCATCACCATCACCATCACCATCATCATCATCATCATCATCATCATCATCATCATGATCAGCATCACCATCATCATCATCATTTTCATCATTTTCATCATCATCACCATCATCAGCATCATCATCATCAACATCATCATCAACATCATCATCATCAGTCATCGTCATCGTCACCGTCACCGTCGTCGTCATCGTCATCAGCATCACCATCATCCCTGTCATCATCGTCACCCGCGTCATCATCATTGTACACGCTCGTTCACTCACGCGCACACTCGCACACTCAGGCACTCATCTTGAGGAAGTCTCGAGCGGTAGCCTCGTCTGTGAGTGGCAAGGAGGTCTCGAGAGGAGCCCCTTCCACATGGGGCCCGCAGCTCATGTTGGTAATCCGAGCTGGTCATCGGTGTAGTGTAGCAGGAATAGTTTTTTAGCAACCAAATGGCATTTGGTCATTGTCGGCCGAGTACGTTGCAAAGTGTGAGTAACGAGTAAGGATCGGAGGGTGAGGAGGGAGGATAATGAAGAGGTGGAGGAAGGGGAGGCGGAGGAGGAGGATGCGGAGGAGGAGGAGGGAGGAGGAGAGAGAGGATGAGAGACAAGTTAGGTGCGCTCCCGCCCCATCTAACATCCCATCCCTCCTTCCTGCGATCCGCGGACGCGTGTCAGAGCCGACCTGCGACTCCCACAGAAACAAACACTTCGTGATATGCGCAATCGGACAAAGGGTAGCTGCGTGCACAGGAGGAGGAGGAGGAGGTGGCGGATGAGCACGAGGAAGAGCGGGAAGAAGAGGACGCGCACGAACAGCAACAGCAGGAACTAAAGTGGAAGGGTAGGGAGGAACACGAAGACCAGGGGAGGGCGGAGGAAGGGAAATGAGGGTGGCGACAACGATGCAAAAGGTCGCGGATTCAGAAAAGCGGCCCGCGCTAGGGCGAGACGAACATTAGCAGCAGGAACTGGAGCGGAAGGGGCGGGAGGAACAGGCAGACCAGGGGAAGGCGGTGGAGGGGGAAGCACGACTCGGATCCGGAACAGTGGCCCGCGCTGGGTCGAGGGCGCCATCCTGAACGACGGGAACAACGCGCCGATCCGACAATGAGGCCCACGCTGAAGCTGGAACACCATTTTGGAACACCGGAACCAATCGGATTGCATACCGCCATCTATGACTAACTTTTGTGAAATCTTGTGGGCAATGAAACCGGCACGCGGAGGAGGCGGGAGACTTTCTGGAGCACTTCAGGGGGGGAGGGATAGTATTTAGTATTCAGAGTGTTTAATTGTGGAGGAGGATGAGAAAGGGAGGAGGAGAGGATGACGATGATTATGACGAGGAAGGGAGGAGCAGGAGGAGGAGGAGGAGGAGGAGGAGGAGGAGGAGGAGGAAGGGGAGGATGAGGGCGAGTAGGATGAGGGGAACGAGTCAGACCAGGCGGAGGAGGATGAAGAGAAGGGAGGAGGAGAGAGGAGGATGAGGAGAGAGGAGGGACGATATAGGAGGGAAAAGGGTGAGGAAGGGATGGGGGACGAGGAGATGGAGGAGCATGATGATGATGGTGATGATGATAGTGATGATGATGATGATGATGATGATGATGATGATGATGATGATGATGATGATGATGATGATGATGATGATGATGCTGCTGATGCTGAGGATGATGATGCTGATAATGATGATGAGGATGATAATTATGATTATGGTGATGATGCTGCTGATGATGATGACGGTGAGGGGGAATGAGGAGGAGAAGGAGGAGGGATGTGGCAGGAGGGCGAGGGATGTGGGATGACGGGAGGGGAGGATGGAGGAGGGATGGTGGGAGGAAGATGAGAGGGGGGGGCGGTAGGAGTAGAAGAAGGAGATGGATGATCAAGAGAAGAAATAGCCGGATGTGGAGAAGGATGCGTTGTGATAATGTTTGGTCGATGAGCGTGGAACAAAAAGGAGGAGGGAGTGTGGAGCAGCCGAGGAGTGCCCCCCGTGTTGGTGGAGAAGCTGAAGAGGGCCGAAAAGGGCCGGCCCGAGCTCAGAGAGGAGCACTGGCTTCCGTTCTTAAGGACCCTGGGGGGATGTGAGGATGGATGAGGGGGGGATGGGGGAGGAGGAGAAGAGGGAGGATGAGGAGGAGGAGGAGGAGGAGGAGGAGGAGGAGGGGGGGGAGGAGGAGGAGGAGGAGGAGGAGGAGGAGGAGGAGGAGGAGGAGGAGGAGGAGGACAGACCAGTGTAAACCCAAGGCGCATCAGCGATGTTGCTAGCAACCCTCCCTCGAAGCTCCCTCTTTGTAGGCCCATGCAAAAATTACCCAACTGCCAGCAGCGAGTCCTGCCACCGTGCCAGCCCAGCATTCCGGGTGGCGACTGTTGGAGGGGGCACGACAGGCGACACGTGTGACACCTCGTGTCTCCAGGCTTGGAAGATGAAGATGATGGGGGTGATGAGGATTCCGAAGATAATGGGGGTTTGACACCTCGTGTCTCCGCCGAGATGAGGAGTACTGTATGAAGATGATGGGGGTGATGATGCTGATGATGATGACGACGATGAGGATGATGATGGTGATGATTCTGATGCTGCTGATGATGATGATCATGATGATGATGATGATGGTGATGATGCTGCTGCTGATGATGATGGTGATCATGGTGATTGTGATTGTGATGGTGATGGGAATGGGGATGATGGTGATGTTAATGATAATGGTTGTGATAATGATGAGGATGATTCTGATGGTTATCTTGATGCGGATGATGCTGCTGATGGTGATGATGCTGATGATGATGGTGCTGATGGCAATAATGATGATGGTGTTGATGATGGTGATTGTGATGATAGTGGTACTGAGGATGCTGGTAATGACAATACTGATGGTGGTGATGCTGATGATACCGATGAAGATCATGCTGCTGCCGATGATGGTGATGATGACGACGCTGTTGACGATGATGCTGATGGTGATGAATGATGGTTATGATACTGCTGACGATGGTGCTGCTGATTTTGATGCTGATGATGATCATGATGATGATGATGCTGATGATGATGATGATGAAGATGATGGTGCTGGTGCTGATGATGTTGACGATGATGCTGATGGTGGTAAGTGATGGTTATGATAGTGCTGACGATGGTGCTGCTGATTTTGATGATGATGATGCTGCTGATGATGATGGTGCTGGTGCTGATGATGATGACGATGATGATGGTGATGAAACAAGTTATGGTGATGCTCAAGTTACTATGATGATGCTGCTGTTGATGATGCCGATGGCGATGACGATGTTGATGATTATGATGTTGATGATGATGCTGATGATGATGCTGCTGATGCTGATGATGGTGATGATAGTGATGCTGATGATGACGATTATGATGATGATTATGATGATGACGATGAGGATGAGGATGGTACTGATCATGATTATGCTGATGATGATGGTGATGACGATGGCGACGACGACAGTGAGGACTACGGCGTCGAGGAACATGACGATGGCGATGACGATGATGTGGAATACTCCCCAATCAGAGCTTGCCTCTGTAGGGGTCCTAGCGGATTCATACGGTTAGGTGAGGTGGGCCGCCGATTTCGGTGGCTGGCCCGGGCCGGGGATGGGGATCCTCCTCCTCCTCCCTCCCCCCTCCCTCCCCCCCTCCCCTCTCCTCCTCCTCCCCTCCTCCCCCCTCCTCTCCCCCCCCTCCCCCCCCCCCCCCCTCCTCCCTCCCCCCCCTCCTCCCCCCTCCTCCCCCCTCCTCCTCCTCCTCCCCTCCTCCTCCTCCTCCTCCTCCCCCTCCTCCTCCCATGCCCGCTTCGCGGTCACCGCCCGCCCATTCCAGGTCTCGCCAGATGAGGCGAAGACGGCTCCAAGGCGGGATAAACATAGCCGAGCGTAGTTTTAGACCCAGAGACGAAGATGGCGCCAAGACGGGATGATTACATCCCGACAATGGTGATAGACTCCCGCACAGGTGTGTTTTGTATTTTGTCATGCGTTCAATTCCTCCTCCATCCCATCGTCGGTAGGACTCAGGTATGCCGTGTGGCTGACCGATGTTCTATTTGTCCATCTGTCGTCGGCCCGCTATCATCACCAACGGAGCAGTGATACGGACGCTGGCCGTCTTGACCTTCGCTCCTTATCCACAGCAGGAGGCCACAAATAGCCAGAACGCTGCCCAAGCCAGCCAAAGACGTCCCGCAAACGGCGCCAAAGGTGCCAACAAGGGCCGAAGAGTGCCCAGATAAGGGCCCAAAAGGGGCCCAAGACGGGCCCCAGCCGGCCCAGGCGGGCTTCCGGACGACCCAAGCGCGAGCATCCCCGCATTGGACCGCAGCCCCGTCCGTCTTCCGGTAAAAACCTGGCCGGTTCTGGGCCGTTTTGGGCCTCGTTTTGGGGCTCAAGTTGGGCCCCAAATCGTTTAAAATTGAGACCAGAGCGTGTCCCAAAACGGCGTCGAAGTTTACGCGTTGAAAAACGCCCCAGGCGAGCCTGGAAGTCAGCCAGAAGGGGCGTGCGGGCGACCCTTGGCGAGGCCAAAGTCATGAAAAACGATGGGTTTTGTGTATGATTTTGAAGTTTCCAGTCTGTTCGCGTTGTTGAACCCAAGAGGCGTTCTTGAGGGCCCCAGGAGTCGATTTTAGAGGCCAAGAGGGGCTCCCGACGGGGTCAAAACCGAGCCGAAATGCGGCCGAACACCGCATTGGAAGCGGACTGAAAATCGAACTCGTCTTGGACGCCGTTTGGAAAGCCCTCTTGGGGCCCGAGAAGGGGATTGAGAGCAGCGGGGCGGCGGAATCGCGGAGGCCTCCGGGGGGGGGGATTAGGGGGGGGGCTCGAGGTCTGGAAGGAGCCCTCGTAGTTGAGTCTCACACGCCCCTCAGCCCGGTGGGCGGGCGGATTCCAAGGGGGCGTGCGCAATGCCGCCGACCCCCAAGGCAAAGAGCAGACGTGCACGGGCGAGGCCTTGGGCCTCTCAGGGAGCCTCCGTGGGGCTCTCCTGGGCTCTCTCTTCGGGGGGCCTCTTCGGGCCTGTTGGGCGCTTCTTGGACGCCTGCAGCAGTCTCGGGGGTCCTCACCTTCCCGCTCTTGAGAGCATTCCTGCTGCATGCACTTTGGCGACGAATTGAAAGGCCACCTGAACGTTTTACGCAGGTTGGGCGAACGCTAGGTGTTAGTCTGTAGCGCTCGTGCGATCGAATCCGGCTGGGCAGCGCGTCGCACAAAGTAAGGCTGCTGCCAGTGCGGGCGCAATGAAGGTCAGAAGAAAGCCATGAGGAGGAGGTGGAGGAGGAGGAGGAGGAGGTGGAGGATAAGTCTGTTCCGGAGCAATCCAGATCGCTCTCAGGGCGTTCCAGGACGTTTTGAGGAGGCCGCGGCGCCCGAGGCATCCTCCAGAGCCGCCAGATCTCAGATGCTCTCGCTCTGTCCTCACCCGAGGTTATCCTCGTCCTGGCTTCATTCTCAGCCGGTGAGGCGGGAACTGCCGCCCTGTTTGCGAGATCGCCCAACGCACGGCGGTTCAGAAGGGAGGAGGGAGGAGGGAGGAGGGAGGAGGGACGGGGGGGGGGGAGGAGGTGGAGGAGGAGGAGGAGGGAGGAGGAGGAGGAGGAGGAGGAGGAGGGGGAGGAGGAGGAGGAGGAGGAGGAGGAGGAGGAGGAGGAGGAGGAGGAGGAGGACGGCGCTGCAGAGCGCACCTGGGCCCGGGAGGAGCCGCCCTCTCCGCCGCTCGTCGGGGAGCTCCGCGCGAGCGCGTGCGCGGCGCAGCGCCTCCTCCGCGCCGCCGTGGTGCGCCGCGCCCGTGCGGGGAGCCCCGCCTGCAAGGCCGAGGCCGCGCGCTCGGCGGGCCGCCGGGGGCTCGCCGCCGCCGCCGCTGGCAGCCGAGGCGGAAGGGTTCAGGTCGGGCGTGTCCTCCTACAGGCAGATTTTGGGTGAAACATGGAAATAGTTCAAACATACTCAAACATAGTCAAAGCATCGTTCCCATACGTTTTTGTTGTTGTTGTTTTTTTTCTGTTACTTAAACGTACGGTGTTTGAACATTCCTCCTGCAGAGGGACAGGCCCGACTTAGCGGAAGGGAGTGCGCGCGGCCACCTCGCTCCATGCTCTCGTTCGAGCGCCGCGCGTGTTTGTTGCCGCTGCTGTAGAAGATCAGCCGCGCGCAGAAGGGGGGGGTGCTGGCGCCTTCTTGGAAGCAGGGGTGTTTCTGAGAAGCCCTCCCCCCCTCCCCCCACCTCCCTCTGTGCGTGGCTGAGGCACGCGGCCACCTCGCTCCGTGCTCTCGTTCGAGCGCCGCGCGTTTTTTCTACTGTTGCTGTAGGGGGCGATGCCCTGTGGCGTTCGTTGCCTTTTGCGGCGCTGTGCGGCCGCGCCATGGTATCATATCGCTGGCCCGCGCGGTAGTACCGATGGGGTTCTCACGATATTTCTATTCCGCCATTGTCTGTGGCGGGGCCACTGGGTGTTTATTATTCAGGACCCCACCCCTCAGAACAACAATCATCGGATTGTGAGAATGGGGTTGGGAGAAATTATCAGATCATCAGTATTGGCGCGTGTGGTGAATGTGCTTCTTGCACAGTCGTGCCCTGTAGATTCCCAACGCTTTCCTCATAACGCGATAATTGCCTTTCTCGACCCCGTGTAGTCCCAGACTTCTTGCGAGGCCACAGAGCCATCATTGGACCCAGCCCTCGCAGGCTGCCTGGACCCGAGGCAGGTCCCTGCGGTCCTCATCTTTACAGCGGGCGCCCTCCGCAGTACAAAGGAAACCTGCCTCGCCTTGCGGGGAGGGGGCTCAGGACGGGAGGGTATCTTGCAACACCTGTGCGGTGCCGGGTTTACTCTTCGAAATCTCGTCTGGCTGCTGCTGCTGCTGGTGCTGTTTCGCCTCCTCTCCCCCAAGGATACTGGCAGCCGGCGACGTGAACGAGCGCGCCCAGCTGCTTAGGAAGATGGTGTGCCAGGAGAAGGAGATGGCTCGCACTGCCGTCATGCTGAAGAGGATGCTGGCGGAGTGATCCGTCGGCGGCCCCCCGCAGCGCGGGAGGCAGGCTGCGCGGCCCTCTTAGGGGCTCTTTCTTCTGGCATGCTCCTCCTCTTCCCCCTCCTCCTCCTCCTCCTCCCCCTCCTCCTCCTCCTCCTCTTCCTCCTCCTCCTACTTCCTCTCCTGCCATATCCCTCTTACTGACATCGAAGAAGAAACAACGCCGTGAACATAAACTTTCGGAGCTCCGCGCGGATTTCTTGGATTCGCGCTGGGTCCCCCCGGCGGCGCCTCCGGCGCCGCCCCAGGGAGAGGGGCCCAGCGCGGATCCGAGAAATACGCGCGGAGCGCCAAAAGTTTATGTCTTTGCAGTTTTGTCTTCTTCTATTCATCCTGCCGTCTCCAACGTCATCCAGTCTCATGTTTCTCCTGCCCCTCCGTCTACTGCCCTACCCCTCCCACTGCTATGCTCGTCCCTCCTTCTGCCGTGCCTCTGCCTCTCGCCTGTCTCGGTTCACTGCCGTACGTCTTCACTCATGCGCTCAGCTACCGTTCTCGACTGCACTTCTGTATGCTCGCTCGCTCCTCTCTCTGCCATGCTATGGTCCTTCTCCCTCGGTGATCCTCCTCTTCATCCTCCACCCTCCGATTCCTACTTTACTATCCACCCTGCTGCTGCTCCTCCCGTCACGCTGCAGGGACTGCTCACGAAGTGAGCCGTGGGATACCCGACAGCGCCAGGCAGATTGCGCGACCCAGCTGCAGCGTTATTTTTGTACACAGCCGCATTTGTTGCCGACTGGTTGGACGCAGTATCTGTTGCCATTCGGTCACGTCAAGGCCAGGGGGCTCGATGACCAATCAGGCAGATCCATCCAGGCCAGAGGCCCCTTGATTCGGCTCATTATTTGAGTTGGCTTTCTGGCCTGAGTGCAGCAGTTGCTGTCTCCTTGCTCGTGTCAGCTTCCCCAGGGCACTACAGACTTTGAGGCGTCGCCACCGCCTGAGCCCCTGAAGTCTCCAGCGGAGCCGCGCTACACGCAGACCCAAATGAGACGTCTCCCTGAGCGCTGCAAGCCACACAGCCATCGTCACCTCTTGAGCCCCTCGGGGGTTCAGCGGGGCAGCGCCACTCGCGGATAATGAGGGGGCCTCGCGTATCTGGGTGCCGCTGAACGTCCTGGGTGGGTTGGGTGCGTCCCTGGGGAGTTTGGCGTCTGGAGGGCCTATTTGATTGTTGCTAGTCCCTTGGCCCCTGGGGTGACCAACTAACCACGGTGCAAGATGAATCGCGCTCACTTTAGGACAGTGCGTGCGACGATTCTATGATCAAGTGCAACGAATTCGCAAGGTTTGTCAGTGTACGGGGAGCTTGCCAGAGGATGGCATGCCGTTGCAGTACGCTGGTGCCTTGAGCCGTTTCCGTGCAGTTCCTTATGTTTTTGCAGTTCTGAGTGTTCCCTTGCAGACCTATGTATCGGAGTGGGGCCTTGTCCCCGAACAACTGAACTTTTTGCATGCATGCTGTAGAACTCGTGTACATACCTCTTTCGTAAACGTCCGCCGCTTCAGCTTCTTCGAGGGCTGACTGGGGCCGATTGTGTCCGCACTGCGATGCGATCTGGGCAGCTTTGTGCCGACGCTGCGACATATATGGCAGTTTGAGCACTATCTGGGATGCGCTGGGGTTCCTCTTGGCAGTGCAGAGAGCTGTTGAGAAAGAACCAGCCATGCCTCATCAGTCCTCCCCCGAAAGCCTGGTAGTTTTAGGCGGAGGGGGCGACGAAGACGATGAGGGTAAGAACGAGGAGGAGGAGGGGGAGGAGGAGGAGGAGGAGGACGAGGAGGAGGGGGAGGACAAGGACGAGGAGGAGGAGGACAGGGAGGAGGAGGAGGAGGAGGAGGAGGAGGAGGAGGAGGAGGAGGAGGACGAACAGCTGCATGGCCATCTGTCATCTTGTAAGGTTGGGTGTCTGCGGATTTTCGGGTTGGTGGGCTGTGGCTTGTGGCATCCTCGTGGTCGCCTCGCGCATGTGGTGGTCGTGAGGCTGCGATTCAAGGATCTTTTTTCCGTGGCCCGCCTCTTGGCCGCTGTGTGCGTGGCGCGCGTCAGGGTCGCGTCGGCGCAGTTGGAAGCCATCTGCAAGCAGCGCCCAAACTTGACGCCGGAATTTCTCGTCGATGCGACCTGGTGGCCCGTGGACCCCTGGTGTCCCCCCTCGCGTGCCGTGAGCGAGAGAGAGAGAGCGACAAAAAGAAAGAGAGACAGAAATAGAAATAGACAGGGAGAGAGAGAGAGAGAGGTCTCCGTGGGGTCGAGGCCTTGAAGCACAAAGATCCGCCGAAGTTGGGACCATGGACCGTGGGGACTGGGTAGGAGGAGGATAGCCCCGTAGTCCCTCCCAAATATTCAATGATCACGGGGAGGAGCTTACGAGTCACTCCTCCCCCACCTGCAGCTCAGAGGGTCGGTGGGGTTCATCAAGGAAAGTGCGCCAGTGGATCTCCCTGAATACACTCAAGGGGGGGGGGGTCCAGAACTTCCCCCCCCTCCCTCCCTTCAAGGGGGGGGGGGGGTCCGGAACCTCCCCACCCCCCTCCTCCCCCTTAGGGGGGGGGGTCCCGAACCCCCCCTCCCTCCCTTGAAGGGGGGGGGGGTTCCGGACAACCCCCCCCCCCTTCCCCCTTGGCGTTGGAAAGGGGGGGGGGGGTTCGGACCCCCCCCCGTGTAGGGAGTACGGAGTTGGGAGTAGGGAGTCAGGAGTAGTGAGTAGTTGGTTAGTGCGTAGTGAGTAGTGAACGGGTAGGGCGTAGGGAGTAGGGAGTAGGGAGTAGTGAGTAGTGAATAGTGAGTAGTGTGTAATGATAAGTGAGTAGTGAGTGGCGAGTAGTGAGTAGTGAGTAGTGAGTAGCGAGTAGCGAGTAGTGAGTACTGAGTAGGGAGTAGGGAGTACTGAGTAGTGGGTAGTGAGCTAGTGCGTAGTGAGTAGTCGGTGGCGAGTAGTGATTAGTGGGTAGTGAGTAGTGGGTAGTGCGTAGTGCGTAGTGAGTAATGAGTAGTGAGAAGTTAGTAGTGAGTAGTGAGTAGTGAGTAATGAGTAGTGAATAGTGAGTAGCGAGTGGTGAGTAGTGAGTAGTGAGTAGTGAGTAGTGAGTATTGAGTAGTACGTAGTGTGTAGTGAGTAGTGAGTAGTGATGAATAGAGAGTAGTGGGTAGTGGCAGTGGGTAGTGAGTAGTGAGTAGCGAGTAGGGAGTAGCGAGTGGTGAGTAGTGAGGAGCGAGTAGGGCGTAGTGGGTAGTGAATAGTGAGTAGAGAGTAGTCAGTAGTGAGTAGTGGGTAGTGATTAGTGAGTAACGAGTAGGGAGTGGCGAGTAGTGAGTAGTGAGTAGGGAGTAGGGAGTAGGGAGTAGTGAGCAGTGAGTAGTAGGAAGTGGGTAGCGAATAGTGGGTAGTGAGTAGCGATTGGTGAGTCGTGGGTAGTGGGTAGTGAGTAGTGACTAGTGACTAGTGACTAGTGACTAGTGAGTTGTGATTAGTGACCAGACACTTTGTAGTGACTAGTGAGTAGGGAGTAGTAAGTAGTGAGTAGTGAATAGTGAGTAGCGGGGAGTGAGTAGTGAGTATTGAGTAGCGAGTATGGGAGTAGCGAGTAGTGAGTACTGAGTACTGTGTAGTCAGTATTGTGTAGGTAGTAGTGAGTAGCGAGTAGTGGGTAGTGGGTAGTGAGTAGTGATCTGTGGGCAATGAGTAGTTTGTAGTGAGTAGTGAGTGGTGGATCGTGGGTAGTGGGTAATAAGTAGTGACTAGCGAGTCGTGAGTAGGGAGTAGTGAGTAGTGCTTAGTGAGTAGTGAGTATGGAGTAGTGGGTAGTGAGGAGTGAGTAGTGACTAGTGGGTAGTGAGTAATGAGTAGTGAGTACTTTTTGGGGCTGGGGTTAGTGGTTGGGGTTAGGATTAGGGGTCTAAGTTAGGGTGAGGACTCGGGGTAAGGGTGGCGGGGGTCGGGTTCCGGAGTCAGGGGGCGGCGTGGCGAAAGGGGGGGAGGGGGGGGGGGTTCAGACCTCCCCCCCCTTCTTTTGAAAGGGAGGGAGGCGGGAGGGGGTTCCCCGACGACGGGTCGGGGAAACGGGGGGAGGGGGGGGGGGTCCCCGACGACGGATCGGGAAGGGGGGGGGGGGGGGGTCCCCGACGACGGATCGGGGAAAAGGGGGGGGGGGGGGGTCCCAACCCCCCCCCCCCTTTGGGGAGATCCAGCGGCGCACCCTCTTCATCAAGAGGGCTGCACTTGCGACACTCGCTCTTTATGAGGCTCCCCACTAGAGTCATACTGGCGTTATCCATGGAAGGGGCACCGAAGAAACGCAGTTGCGGATAGCAACAGCAGCACAACGGCTGGCCGAGGCATGAACAACAACGGCAGACCAGCACCATGCAGCGTGCAGGATAGCAGCAGGAATAATTGGGATGGTATGATAGAGGATGAAGAATGGAAGTGGGACGTGCCATGTTGTGGACAGAACACGATGACCCAAAAACACATGTGGGCTGGGCAGACACGTGTATGGGTACACAGGCTGCCGACCTTGCCAGGACACTGTAGCCCAGGGTTCAACCCAGTGTATATCGTGTGCGCAACCAAATCAAAGCCCAGGGTGCAGCCCAGGGTGCAAACGAGGTGAAATCAGTATGCAACGGGGAGTACACATAGAGTGCAACTATGCTGCACTCACGAGTACAACCCACATCCCCTTCATCGTATTCATCCCTCTCCACGTGCCCTTGCTGCTCCTGTTCACCATGCTCATCTTGCTCCTCCTCCTCCTCCTCCTCCTCTCGCTCATGTCCTACTGCTTGGTCCCACCGCGCGCGGTCCAGGAGTTTGTGATGGCGATGAAGCTCATTTTCGCTGCCCAGAGGAAGCAGCTCGTTTCCTTGGAGGCTCCAGAAGGGTAGGAGGGGTCCGGTCTCCTCCACCTCCTCATCGATGGTAAAGAGCGAGAGAGAGAGAGAGAGAGACAGGGACAGAGAGAAAGAGATATATTGATATCCGTTTATTTTCTTGCGTCCGAAATATGCGGACGCACACGAGTATCTTTATACGTAGACGCATCTGGGCACCCTCCCAGGGCACTTTCCATATTTGTCAAGGAGACGGTACAGGAAAA